ATATATATATATATATACATATATACATATATATATATATATATATATAGTAAGGGGTCACATAGATCTTGCGACAAACTTCAGAGGACTTATAGCACGTCATCAGGATTAAATTTACATACGAATCCATGCCTGGGAATGTCGTCATACGCCGCTAAAGGCGCTTCCCTAACATGAATTGTTTCTTCGTGTGCTTCTGAACATGTCAAAGTACGACATTTCCGGGCATGGTTTTCAATGCAATTTTAATCTTGATGTTGTGTCCAAGTCTCCCAGAGGTTTTACGCAACATTTGTGCGACACCCTGTTATATATAAGTTCTTCAAACCCATACATTTCTACAAAAACAAGACCAAAAAAGGCCATTTTTAAAAAATCTATAGCTTTAGGAACAAACCAGATTTCAGTTTCGTAACCCCCACACCCGAATTTGGCAAGATCAACTATTTTTATAAATACAATCGAAAATTCGTCCCCCAGTATAATCATTTATCTAAAAGTCGTTTTATTGCAATATGAGTATTTGCGGAGAAAGGACAATTTGTTATAAATATAAGAAGTTTGTTACTAATGCTTTCAATTCGGGCATTACAACTTTACTCCATGTCGACAATTAAGTAGATAGTTATAGAATATGTTTGGATGATTGGCAGTATAATTGAAAGTTAACTATGCTTTGAAAACGATCATAAGCTCTTTTCCCAATGCCCACCCGATTATCTCTCGTCATTCAAGTATCAGTAGGGCCACTCTTTCAGAGGCACTATATTAGGTGGTATTGCTCTCACAATAAGGATAAGTAGTTCAGAGAATGAAAGAATATCTATGCTTTGTCTGGGATTCGAACTCAAGACCTTTTCGATGAATTATCACAAGTAGGTATTTAATATAAGATTTTCTGCACATTTATTTTATGAACACACAAAATACGAGCTTTATTTAGACAAGTATGTACATCTTAGGTCAAAACTATCAGTGGTTCAAGTTTGTTCTGATGAAAAAAGAGGGACTTGGATTTTTATCTTATTTTGAAATATTTCATATTGCATTACAAAAAAAAATTAAACTAAACAAAATGTTAAGTTCAAAAGTTACAAATTGTCTTAAAAAACCTTAGAACAGTACGAACTTTTTTTAAACAGCCTTATTATTTAAATGACAAATTATACAATAGAAATATTCGCTTTTACCACAGTTTGGTTAGTTGACAATTATTAGTTAGTTTGATGGCCTCGTGAGCTATAAGGACATTTATGATAAGAGGTATACATTAAATGCAATTACAAAAATTTAGATAAATCATTTGGAAGTGATTTATATCCCAGAAAAAGTGGAATAGTTTGCAACTGTACATCAAATGTTCGTAATGTCCTAAAAAGAATGTGGGGATCTTTTGTTTAATGTACAATGACGCCTGTTAAGTTGACCCCACTTATCAAGAATGGAATTTTTCCTATATATTATTTGGGAGCTAAACCTGTGTAGCCTTTATACCTATCATTCTTGTATGTTGACTACTGAAATAAACCACACTTGTCCAGTAATGTTATGAAATGCTATCCTTCTTATTGAAAATTTTCCAAAGATAATCTAAAATTTTTTTTTTCAGTATACTCTTTATGTAAATTTGTAATATACAGTACACTCTAGATTATCCGTGCGCGGATTATCCGGTTTGCGGATTATCCGTGCTCATTCCGGAGTCACACAAAAAATATAAAGAGAAACATTTTCAAGATTAAAAAAATTTGATTCATGAAGTTGTAACACTACCAAATTTTTGGAAAGCAATATTCGTTATTGGATTGCAGTATATGGAACAAATCGTCTACGTTATCACGATCGTGGAGAAAGACGATACCGCTTGATGAACAATCCTCTTCAGATGTTCAAGAAAAATATGATAACAGTATTCTCGAACAAGCAAAAGAAATCTAAGGTTTCGAAATTCTTTATGAAGAAAATTTATAAGATTGGTTTCAAAGTGATGCATGTGAGCCTGGCTTCCAGTATTTGACTGATGAAGGCATCGTTACGTTGTTAAATCAAATAGTGATGAT